CGCACCTCCATAACCCTGAAATTCAAAATGCTCTGGATTCCAAACGAAGCACGTTATTGAGCTCTAAAATTGTAAACAGATATAAATATACCGCCTCTTATGCCTGACGAGGATAAAAACTTTGGTGGCTCTTTTGGTTTGGGTTTTAGAAAGTGATGACGTCACGTGAAAACGATCTATTTGTCAGTTTTCTGTTCTGATTTGGTTGATCGTGTACCGGTTTGATCACATGCCCGAGCGCTAACGTAAATGGCATACGGAGCGATTGCTACTGTTTTTATCCCGGCTTCGAACTCTGTCTCACCAATCATGGAACTGACAGTGAAAACTCTTCTTCTTGACTTTCTTTCGTTCCAGTGTAGTTTTGGCGCAGTTCTCGAGGAAAATAGCCAGCTAAAACTGCGATACGACGCTTCTCGAAACAGGCTATTTCTGAAGTAATAAATCCACGGGTTGATCGCGGATGATGTAAACGAAATTGCCTCGATCCAGGGCCACACTACAAAAGAAAATCTATGATCGAGACACTTGTCTTTGCCTGCGAAATGATGCACAACAGAAAGGACGACACAGGGCATCCATGAAACGATGAAAACACCTAGCACGAACCCAGTCGTTTTGACAGCCTTATAACTTTGTTTAGCAAGGGCTGTAGTGTTCTGGTCTATGTTTCGAGCAGTTTCTCTTGTTATTCTCCTAGATTGCTCTCTGGCGGTCTTGAAAATCCAAAAATAGCAAAAGGTGACAACACTTATTGGAAGCACAAATATTATAAATGTTAACGACAACCACAGTATCGCACCATTTGCTGGATTATTTACCGACAAAATCCTCGAAAAAGGAAGAAAAAATGAAATTAACCACACCATGAAAATCGCGGTGTAACATTTGTTCAAAGGTAAAATGTCTTGATAACGGCAAGGAAAGCGAATGGCAATAAATCTGTCAACAGAAACACAACACAAGTTAAACACTGTGGCAGCTGTTGTGTGAATCCACAGCATATCCAAAATGCTGTTTAAAATTTGGCTTTCGGATGGCTGAATCCAACATCTGATGGCTATCCAGGTAGGGTCTATGACAAGCCCCACGATAAAGTCTGCTACGCACAACGAGGCTAAAAATCGGTTTGAAATTGTTCGTAAAGACTCGTTTTTGTAAAACAACCACAGCACCACTGCATTTCCAATGACAGCTGCTAAACCAGAGGAGGCGAACCACAACGAGAGAACGATGGATGCTGCACTGCTCAGTCGCTCGTTGACGCAGCTGGTATTCATTTTTGGCCTGTCTACAAGAAAAGTAGAATACAAAAAATAATTTTGAATGTTATTCGAATGACTTGCAAGAGGTTGTTGCGACTGAAATGTCCTGAAGGATGCTATTTTTTCATAAACTGAACAACGTTTTGCAGGCAGGTGGGTTCTCTTTTTGACAGAACTTCTAATAAATTTAGCCTCTTTATTAACACTTCAGGGACGCAAACAGAGAACTCCATGAAGTAGTTTTGTCAATCACAAAAGAAGCTGTTAGTACAAAACTGATAGCAAACATGGAAAGAACGTTATTAAATTAGCAAGCTGTCGACTTTTAGGCCGCCGTTTTTACAATGTAAATGAGAGTTTTTACGTTGCTCAAAGTTTGAAAACTTAAAGAAAAATGTTTCCTCAAACGCCAGAACTCACCCTAGAATCAGATACCAGCCAGCGGCGTTGACT